ACCACAGTGAGATGCCACTTTGCATTCCACTACGATGGCCATAAAGGAAAAAAAAAGATTGTAAAAAGTGGAAAATAACAAGTGCTGGTGATTATGTGGAGAAACTGAAACACAAATTGCTTGCAGAAATGTAAAGATGGTTTAGCTGCAGCAGAAAAGTTTGCTGGTTCCATAGTAAGTTGCTCATAGAATTTCCATAAGACCTAGCAATTCCACTCCCAGGTATACCCAATAGAATTAGAAATGGAGTTCAAACAAAAACTTGTAAGTGAATGTTCATAGCAGCTCTATTCACAATAGCCAAAAGGTAGAAACAACTCAAATGTTCATCAACAAACAAATCCAAATGTCTGTCAACAGATGAATAAACAAAAGGTGGTAGAGTCATAGAATGGAATATTATTCCTCTTTAAAAGAGAATGAAGTACTGAACATGTTACAACATAGATGAACCTTGAAAATATCATGTTAAATGAAAGAAACAAGACACAGTAACATGTATAAGTCCATTTATATATAATATCCAAAATAGGCAAATCCATACAGACAGAAAGCAGATTAGTGGTTGGCAGGGCTGGGGAGAGCTGGCAAATGAAGACTGACTGCTTGATGGCTACAGGTTTTCCATTTGAGGTGATGAAAAAGTTCTGACGCTTGATAGAGGTGATGAAAAAGTTTGTGAAAGAACTTAATTCCACTGACTTGCACACTTAAAATAGTTACAATGATAAATTTATATGTTATCTGTATTTTACCAAAATAAAAATAAATTGGTAAATCTAACTTATTAAGAAAAACATTATCTCATCACTGAGGTATACACCAATAATAAAATCAATGGGTTTTTTTTTAGCAAAAGAGTCTGTAGTAGCATGTATCAAAATTAACAGAATGAGCAAATATCTCAGACTATCCCCCCCACTACATGATAGACTTGATTCTTACGCTCCGTAAGCAGTTTGGCAGTATACAAACCTAAAATAATATTCTAGTCATAAAAAAGAAACAATTCCGTGTGTGTAATACAATGAAATTATAATTATCCAATAGGGAAAGAAATCCCAAAAGCTTTTTTCCCCTCCACTTTTACTCCCCTGATATATACCATCACCCTCAGGCTCCCTCCTGAAGGCTCCAGGGGTTACAATCAATGTCTCAGAATTATAAGGACTTTACGTAACACTTCACCCTTTGGGGTCTGCATATAATTTCTCATTCTGGAAACACCATGAGCCATTCTCACTCCTTTGATTATCAATTTTCTCACAAAATATTTTAAGTGCTTTCTTCTAGCTCAATCCCATTGTGATTTAAATACTTAATAATGTGTCCTTTAGACATGAATTTGAACAGAATCTAACACGTCTGCTACCACCGACTTAGAGATTTCCACTATTTGCGGGGCTTTAAAATCCCTTGGCTAATCTATTTTTTCAGTGCCACATGCACTGAATTCATGACTGTTATCAGTCTTTTTAATAAAATATTGCGCATTTTACAACATTTCCACCCTGCATAAATGGAGATGATGTTGCTAGCTCACCATTAGTAAGTGACATTTTGGATTTTGTCATTTGTTTGTTGTTGGTTTTATGGTATTTAAGATAAACTGGGATCTCAGACTTTCTGGTAATTCCAGTTAAAACTGATGAGCACTGATCCATTTAAGTGATCTGATTTTCTCATGTGGCCTTTGATATTTTAGCAGGTTGCCTATGCTCTGGGATACAGTTTGTGACTGCCTAGTTAACTCAGACAAAATTTGAACGCAAGATGTTTCCTTAACTTTCAGTATGCTATCTTTGTCTTAATGGCACAGTGTTTGGGTTAGGGTTGCATTTTGAAAGGTAAGTTTTTAATTGTGACAATTTTGGTGAATCTCTGTGGGTAAGCAAACCTCTTCCTTTACTGAAAATACTATTTTTGTACTAAGAATCTGAATATCTTCGGCATAGCTCCAGTATGACTAAGCAGCCCTGGGGCTTTGGATAAGTTGCTAAACATTTCTAGAAGTAGATCAGATCACCACAAAGATCTCTTTTTCCTCAAAAATTCTACTAAACTATTACCTCATGAGTGATCTTGTAGTTCCTCTCTCAGCATCATTTATACATTTTCTGCATGTTATCAACTGTGAGTCAACAAAATTTTTATCTTTCCACAGATGGGACATAATACTTACACCCACGGGTCATAATGCAGTCGTCAGTTGAACCTGTTGTTTTTCAGCTCATCAGCGGTGACTCTGTATACAGTACACCCACTTTGACTGTGTCATGACTCAGTTGTACCTAACTCTCCCAATCCGAGTTCATCTTTTCTTTCTCACATTCATATGATGAAAACACTCACGTTCTGACAGGTCTCAACTACCTCCCTGATTTGTTTGTTGTTTTGAGACAGGGTCTTGCTCTGTTGCCCAGGCTGGAGTGCAGTGGCACAATCATGCCTCATTACTGCCTTGATCTCCTGGGCTTAAGCCATCCTCTGGCCTCAACCTCCCAAGTAGCTGAGACCACAGCCACACTTGGTCATTTTATTTTTTTGTAAAGACATTCTCTCACTATGTTGCCCAAGCTGGCCTCAAACTCCTGAGCTCAAGTGATTCCCCCCACTTCAACCTCCCAAAAGTACTAGGAATACTAGGAGGCCCCCGGCTTGCCTCCCTGATTTGGAGGAGGTTGGAATTCTCCAGGATGCCTTCTCCCACAGTATTAATGCTTCCCTGGCCTACTATATACAGGCCAGATGATTGTCTCAGTATTCTGATACAGTAAGTCCGCACTGGGGCAGCTTCCACATGTGAATTTTAACAAATGCCTGGAGTTTTCTGAGCCTTATTTCTATACATGCACAATGGAAAACCTACCTGTATTTTTAAAACTGAATGCACATGTCTGTTCATGTCTATTTTGTTTAATTGACTTCCAGTTACAGGGATAGATAAATTCTACTCTCTGGGATTTTAAGAAGGCTGACAGTTAAGTTCACAGCTGCTCTGTTCCCCAAATTTGGGTGAATCCTAACTATAATAAATTGATTCTTCTTTTTAAAATACAGGCTAGAATTAATGTTTTTGCAAAGAAGGACCCCAGAGGTCTTCAGGGACATCTGAAGCACACTGAAATTATCCAATTTCTGACTTTATGCACTGCCCCTGATAAATCGTGTTTGTTTTATTCCAACTGTACAAAAGCAGAGGATATCCAGACCCTTCTGCACGCCTCTGGCAGTTCCAAGAGCTCTTTCCTGACAACACTACTGAAAGTTTATGCTGAGTCCTTCCACCTGCCTTCATATTACTCTAGTCCTGCCTCTTCCACCCCACAGAACCTTTCTAGCAACCTGTTTCACGATGCACGTCCATGAATATTAAGGGACTACTGTGTATCAGACACTGGGTTAGACACTGGGGACCCAGAGGTAAACAATACAAAACTGTGGCTCCATGGAATTTATGATCTAGTGGAGTGAGACAAGTAGCAGACAAAAGAAATGAGTAGTTTATTTGTTATAAGATTATTGCCTTATATAAAAATAATTCAGGAAAGAGAAAGAAGGGAATTGTAAGGGTTTTCAATATTATATAGTACAGTGAGGGAGGACCTCAGTTAGAAGGTGACTTTTCAAAAATGGCCTGAAGAAGGTGAGAAAGGGGGTGTGTGGGTGTCTTGGGGAGAAAGCACTGTAAGTATAGCAAACTGCAGCTACAAGCCTTGTACCAAGACAATGAGGGTGTTGAGCAGCAGACTGACATGATCATATGTTTTAATGTAATCCTCTGATTCCTTTTGTAGGAGTGAGGGAAAATTTCACCTTTGTCCTCTGAAGTTTCACGGAAATCAACTGACAAAAGGCAGATTCATAGGAGAAAAGACATACACATTTATTTAATCATAGTTTTACATGACAGAGGAGCCTTTAGATGAGGATCCAAAGATACAGGAAAAACTTCCCATTTTTATGCTTAGGTTCAAAGAAATTTGGACAGCCATGTAGAAATATGATTGAACACGAAGGGCATGATCTAATGCTGATGGACTGAGTGAAGAAGCCCAGCAAGACCCATCTGTGAGGTTCTTTGTGGCCTCTCTGAGCAGTGTTCCTTTTTTCTTGGTAAGGAGTAAGACCTGTCTGGAATGGAGGTCTTATGATCTACAATCCAGTAAGGTAGGTCAGATAATTTATTTATGGCTGGTTTTAACATAGAAAGGTGGAGGGAAAGTTAGAGTAACATTTTTAGGTTTTATGACTGGCTTTGAATTTCTATGGCTAACCTCGGAGAAGAAAGAGCCAGGGACAAAAAGGCAGGAGAAAGAGAAACTTTTGCTTCTGAGACCTTCATGTTGGGGTATCATTTTCTGAGCCCCAACACTTTTTTGAGAGTACTTGGAAAGGGAGCAAAGGAGAAGCAGAGAGATGAGTTAGAATATTAGATGAAAATTCAGATGATAAATGATGGCAAGAAGGGCCAGTAGTAGCAGAGGTGGTGAGGAGGGATAAAAAACTGGACATATTTAATGACAGAAAAAAATTGCAGATGATTGTGGAATTTGAGAGGGCACAATTTTAATGCCTGTACAGTGGTTCATCACATGAAAGACCACTCTCTACCTGACTAACCCTTTATTGTTAAACATTTAGGTTGCATGTAGATGTTGTTACTACAATATTTCAATTTAAAAAAAACAGTGCTAAGGATTTTGCATAAATGTCCATTTTCTCCAGACAGTGAACACCCCCTAGTCTTTTATTATACAGTCCAAGTTGGCTGTGAGGAAGATAATGCAGTGCCATCCACAGAGCTGTTGAATGGCTGCTTTTGAAAACAATGGCTATAAAATTTATTTTTAACCAGTCATGGTAGTGCGTGCCTGTATTCTCACCTACTGAGGAAGTTGAGGTGGGAGGATTGCTTGATCCCAAGAGTTTGAGGTTAGCCTGGGCAACACAGTGAGACTGTGTCTCTAAAAAAGAATAAGATAAAATGAAATAAAATTTACTTTTAATGTTTGCTAACTAATGTAATTGCTTGTCTCATGCCCGGTATGCCCTGTGCTCTTCCCACAGGTGGCCTTTTGCCCCACCCCCAGCATACAATGATGGAAATAGCCAATGTGAGTTCTCCAGAAGTCTTTGTCCTCCTGGGCTTCTCTGCACGACCCTCACTAGAAGCTGTCCTCTTCATAGTTGTCTTGGGTTTTTACGTGGTATCGATCTTGGGCAATGGCATCATCATTCTGGTCTCCCATATGGATGTGCACCTCCACACGCCTATGTACTTCTTTCTTGCCAACCTCTCCTTCCTGGACATCAGTTTCACCACGAGCATTGTCCCACAGCTTCTGGCCAACCTCTGGGGACCACAAAAAACCATAAGCTATGGAGGGTGTGTGGTCCAGTTCTGTATCTCCCATTGGCTGGGGGCAACCGAGTGTGTCCTGCTGGCCACCATGTCCTATGACCGCTACGCTGCCATCTGCAGGCCACTCCATTACATTGTCATTATGCATCCACAGCTTTGCCTTGGGCTAGCTTTGGCCTCCTGGCTGGGAGGTCTGACCACCAGCATGGTGGGCTCCACTCTCACCATGCTCCTACCGCTGTGTGGGAACAATCGCATCGACCACTTCTTTTGTGAGATGCCCCTCATTATGCAACTGGCTTGTGTGGATATCAGCCTCAATGAGATGGAGATGTACCTGGCCAGCTTTGTCTTTGTTGTCCTCCCTCTGGGGCTCATCCTGGTCTCTTACGGCCATATTGCCCGGGCTGTGTTGAAGATCAGGTCAGCAGAAGGGCGGAGAAAGGCACTCAACACCTGTTCTTCCCACGTGGCCGTGGTGTCTCTGTTTTATGGGAGCATCATCTTAATGTATCTCCAGCCAGCCAAGAGCACCTCCCATGAGCAGGGCAAGTTCATAGCTCTCTTCTACACCGTAGTCACTCCTGCGCTGAACCCATTTATTTACACCCTGAGGAACACAGAGGTGAAGAGCGCCCTCCGACACACTGTGTTAGAGAACTGCTGTGGCTCTGCAGGCAAGCGGGCCCAAATTTAGAGACTCCAGTTCCTTCTGAGAAGGAAGACTAAGTTTACATAGAGCAAACTGACCTTGGAGGACGGGACACTTGGGATGTCGTTGGGATGTCGTTTTTCTTCCAATATTGTTTGAGCTCAAGGTAGATGGAAATCTGAAAGGAGTGTGCTCACACTATTTCCAGACCAAGAAAATACATTTATTGTTTGTTAATTATCGTAGTTTTGTTAAATTGCCATTGTTGGTTTTTGCTATATATACACATGTTGACTGTCATCTTGTTTTGTAAATTCCTTGCGTTGTTATACAGCTGTTTCTCAGTATCCGAATCGGGTGGATTCCAGGACGCTCCGTGGATAATAAAACTTTGACGATGCTGAGAGCGCACGGGGAGACCGGAGCCGGCCTGTTTCCCGGTGCCCCTGGAGCCCTCCCAGCCCTCGGCTCTGCGCCTGGGGTGAGATGGTCCCAGGACAGGCCGCGGCCTTCGCCTTGCAGGCTCCGGAGCCCTCGCTGTGGCTCCCCCGCCCAGCCCAGGCCTTCAGGCTGCGGCGAACCTCTTCCTACCCCACCTCGGGGACCTGACGACAGCGGCGGCCTCCCCCAGCCTTGATCTCCCGGTCCAACCCTACCGGCCCAGACCAAGATCGCGCCGAGCTGCCGGGATTCAGCGCCTTTGAGTGACGGCGGTAAGCAGGGAGGAAGCCGTTAGGCTGTGGAGGGCGAAAAAGGTGATCCAGGGGCGGGGTCGGCTGCCCGTTTAGGCCACGGAGCCGGCAGGTCCACATTCTGGGCGACCTCTTTGTCCCAGTTGGGCGAGACCTACCTAGTCCTGAAGGGTCGTATTTCCAAGACATTTTCAAATTCTATCATTATGTGTGTGCATTTTATTACTTCTCTATAGAGTTGACAACGCTAAGCTTTTTTGAAATGTCTGTTCCTTCTAGATGTTTTGAAGTACCTGATATATGTTAAAATTAGAGATAGTAAAATGACATATTTTGTAAATAACTTTTTGTTAAAATTCATACGAAATGTTATTTTGTGGGGGGATGGCATGGTGTTTGTGGACTAGTTCAAGGAAGGAGGGGATAAGAGAGGTGCAGAGAGCTCTAAGCCAGTGTGCTAACAGTGAGGCGAGATTCACCATTGTTTCTTATGATTGTGCATTTTCTTTTACTTATCTGTGTATACAGTGTATCTAAAGGACAAACGAGTTCTAATTTACAACACCTAGTCTTTCGAGATGTTAAAGAACTTCTGTCAATAGAGTAACCTATCAATAGAGTTCACCTCTCTCTATATATATATATTTAGTTTTTAATATAAGGAACTATGACTCTATATTCTCTCATGAAACTAGTCTACTTTGGTACTAGGATCTTCCAATTCACTGTATTAGTCAGGGTTTTCCAGAGAAACAGAACCAAAAATATATGTAAAAGAGAATATATACACAAATACACACACACACACACACACACGGGACAGAGAGAAAAAAAACAGTAAAGGAGATCGAGAGTTAAGAAATGGGCTCACATAATTTAGGGAACTGGCAAGTCCGAAATTTTCAGGGCAAGCCAGCAGGCTGTAAATTTTGACAGCTGTTGATGTTGCAGCTTGAGTTCAAAGTCTGGAGGTAAAATTCCCTCTTTTTGGAAGCAGGTCAGTCTTTTCTCTAAAGGCTTTCAACTGATTGGATGAGGCCCACTCACATTATAAAGGGTAATCTGCTTTACTAAAAGTCTGATTTAAATGTTAATCGCATCAAAACAGACAAACAAAAACAAACAAACAAAAATAAACCCTTCACAGTAACACCTAGGCTGGTGTTTGAACAAAAAATGGGCACCACAGCCCCACCAAGTTGATACATCACATTAACCATCACACCAAATCCAAACTTTCAGTGAAATGAAGCAAAATTCTTCAATTGGATTATTATGCATCATGTACAAGACACTCTCGTGTCTTGGTTTCTGGACTCATGTATCAGGTTACGGTGGCTGCAGGTTTAGGGCATACACTGCAGCCTGTAGGAAAGTAGTCCTTATTTACACAGTATTGTTTCTCAGCTTCAATAACTAAACCTTCAGCAGGCCATTCCATCATTCAATAAAGCCCATTCCATCATTCAGTCAAGCCCACTGCTTCTGAATATTGAGGTATGAAGTAAGAATCATGAATTCCAAGGGCGATTCTATTGCCACACCCCTTTGGCTGTGAAATATGTTTTCTAGTTACAGGTGACATTGCAGGGGATGCCATGGTGATGGTTAAGGCTTTGTTCATTATGTAAATGGTTGGGGCATGGAAGACAAAACGGTCCCCAGAATATTATTCTGTCCCTATAAAGACTAACATTGCTTACTCTATGCTCAAAAGAGTCCAAAGTAATCACTATGCTATTAGTCCAGCCAGACACCTGGAAATAGTGCCAAATTACATGCTAACCTTGGTGAGAGAAATGTCATAATGCTGTGCCCATTCATAGTTTCCATCCCTGCTTCCATGTTCAATTTCTCATAGGCCCAGTGAGCAAGCCTGCTGGCAAAAGAGATTGACTGATTATCTACTAGATGAGTCATCTTATCTACCATACTATCAAGATCCATCTCTGCAGTGGATGCCCTCTCCATGGGCATCTATGTAAGACAAATATCTTCATGATCTGTGCACTTTACAAGAAATTCTTCAATGTCCTCTTCTCCAGATTTGCCTGCCATTAATTTTCCAGCCTTGTTCTTCACAAATCTCTCACCAAAAAAACCTGTTATCCAATGCTCCTAAATCAGTGCATATCCAAACTTCTGTGCCCATCTCCTTCTATAAAAAATTAACAACCAGCTAAACTGCCTGTAGTTTGACCACTGGGAAGTTTCCCTTCCTCACCATCTTTTGGCACCACCTGGAGGGGTACTGTGGTATAATGTCATTTGCTTCTTTCTGTTGCTGGTGTATAATGCAGATTCATTTGTAAAGTGGCCCATACTTTTTCCTTAATAGTTGGCTAAACATGAAATATGAGTGAGATCATGCAGGATTTGTCCCTTTGTGTTTGGCTTATTTCCCTTAACACAGTGTCTTCTAAGTTCATCCATGTTGTGAAGAAAGGATTTTGAATGCTCTCACTACAAAGAAATGACAAGTGTTTTAGGTAATGGATATGTTAATTATCTTAATTTGATCATTATACAAGTATACATGTATCAAAACATCATACTGTACCCCATAAGTATGAACAATTGTTATTTGTGAATTAAAAACAAAGTAAAATGAAATTTAAAAATAATTATACAATTTTAGGGGCTTCGGGGTGGGGGAAGGGGAAGTAAAAAGCAGACAGCAGGTACTCTAGGAGTCAGAGACACATAACATTAGTATGAGTCGGGAAGGGAGAAATCAAGTTATTGACATTTTTTACTCAGTTTAGAACCCAAAGACTGAAGAAACAGAAACAAATAGGGGAAATAATAACTTTTAAAGTATCAGATAAAATTTTTAAGAAAGTTAAATACTGCATTTCTCACTCATATACGAAAGCTAAAAAAAAAAGTTGATCCCATAGAAATAAGTAGAACAGAGGATACTTGAGGCTGGGAATGGATAGCAGTGGTGGGGAAATGAGAAGAGATTCGTTAAAGGATACAAAATTATAGCTCCACTGGAGGAGTAAGTTCTAGTGTTCTATACCACTGTGGGATGACCATAACAATAATATATTCTGTATTTTCAAACAGCTAGAAGGAGGATATTGAATGTTCCCAGCACGAAGAAACGATAAATGTTTGAGATGATGGATATTCTAATTACACTTATCTGATCACTATACATTATGCATATCCAAACATCACTGTTTACCCCAGAAATAGGTACAATTATTATATGTCCACTAAAAGCTAAAATAAAAAATGTTCAAACATTCAAGATCTGAAGAAAAACTTCAATCTGAATACTAAAAACTTTCCCTAACCTCTTGAAAAGATTAATTAAAAATCTCTGGAGTTTGGATGCACTGTAATTTTCCTCTGCCAGTTCATGGCTTTGTTTAAGCTCAGTAGTCAAGTTTTTAGAACCTCCAGAGAAAGCAATGAGGAAGTGACAGAAGGATCCTCTGGGACCCATTACCCCCAAATATCTGTCATCTTCTTGACCTCAAGGCTGGGTGTCAACTCAGGACAGGAGTGCAGGTCCTCATCAGTTTATTTGGGGGTAACGTAGACAACACAGACCCTCCCAGAACCATGAGGACAGCACCGGCCTGACCATCCATCAGCCCGTTTGGCACAGAGGAGAACGATGACCATAGCTCAGGCTGATTGGTCATGTGCTCACCCAACTGCTCCCTAAATGCTTAACAGAAAATGAAGACATCCTCTCCAAAACCCAAGGAAACACACTTGAAATGTGATTTGTGCCTCAGATTGGTATCCAAGAAGAAGTGAAAGAAACACCAGGCATTCCCACACAATTTCTGGCTCTACATCCAGTAGAACTATTGGATCTTCCAACACAGCCATCTTGAGGCAGTAAATCCTGAAAGAAAGTGAAAGACCTTTCTAAATAGAGGGAAGTCCCATCTTACTTGGATTTAAATCATAGTAAATAAAGAGGAAAATGCTTACATGCCATATTGGATACGACTTGTCTTTCAATGCCAGGTCCCTTTTCAGCCTAATATGTCAGAATTTTCTAGGCTCCATCTTTTCCTTTATTCCTCTTGCAGCAACCATAGGCTTTGATGGCTTCTCACAGAAGGATACAAAACCTGGATCATCCCAAACCTGCTCTGTGAACCCTCTACTTCACGTTTGGGTTTCCTCCCATGCTGCCCACTGTGAGGGTCATGCATCACCAGAGCATGCACAGCTGAGAAATGTGGAGAGTGAAGGACCCAAGCCACACTGACTATGGGGATGTAAGCCAGTGGAGACACACTTCCTGAAGTAAGATGCATTTCACAAAGCTCCCAGGTTCCAGAAGGATGGAGCACCAGTCACCCTTGGTCATGGTCAAACCCTCTTTGTCCTTGCCCTTTCCTGCTCTTTGGGATCACAGAACATGTGCACTGGACACAGCTTCTGCCTTGGAAACACCCAGACTAAGGTAATTTCTCACACACCAGTTTATCTTCCAGGTTCTGTCAGAACTTTAGGTCAAGTGTTGCAAGTCAAATACAGTAAAAAATATAAACTTTAAAAATTATACTCACCCTCAACATGGCAAGCTTCTCGTGGTAAGAAAGGAATGCAAGAATTGAGAAACCAACCCAGAGAATAGCACGCTCAAGATTTCTTGGCAAATAAATTCACTTAACAGATCATAGATATTTTCTCATCTCAACACATGCTGTGCACATGTATATTTCAAACCTAACGACCATGGAATTTTCTCATTTTCATTATTACAAACAAAGCTACAATAAGTTCATGTGTATTGAAATCTTTGCAAACTTGACTAGTAGCTCAAGATAAATTTTAGAATAAAAAATCAAATGGTATTCACATGTGTAATACTCTGAAGTGTATATTTGGTCTTCAATAGGTTTCCTGGCATACAACTACTAAAATCCTTAGATTATTTAAAGTGGTACTTGTATGTTAATGAGTGGACAAATGGCTGGTAGTCCCTAGGTAGCTTCAGGATGGGAGCTGGACACCTGAAAGACCAAGGCAGAATTAGAGGGTTAAGATAGTCAGACCCAGCCCCCAACCTCCGTGGAGGGGAGAAGGGATGAATGTTAAGCAGATCACCAATTGCCAGTGATTTAATCAGTCATGCCTACAGAATGAAACCTCCATAAAAACCCTCAAGGACTGGGTTCAGAGGGCTTCCAGACAGCTGAACACGTGGAGATTCCTGGAAGGTGGTGAACCTGGAGAGAACATGTAAGTTCCACACCCTTTCCCTATACCTCGCCCTATGCATCTCATCATCTGTATCTCTTGCAATATCCTTTACAATAAACTGCTAAATGTAGATGCCTCCGTGAGTTCTGTGGGCTGCTCTAGCAAATTAATCAAACCCAAGAAAGGGGCTGTGGTAACCCAGACTTATTGCTGATTCACTGGTCAGATGCACAGGTAAAAAGAACTTGAGGCTTATAATTGGTTTTGGAAATGGGGAGATGTCTTCTGAGACTTAGCCATCAGCCTGCATACTGGCGTTATTTCCAGGTAGACAGTGTCAAAACTGAATTGAAGGACACCCAGCTGGTGTCTGCCACAGGATTGATTGATTGCTTGGTATATGGGCTTAACCTCATCACCTT